GAATTTTCCCATTCAGTCCCACATCATCAGTGGAAGATGGAAGGAGTGAAGAGAAGATCACTTGAGCCCCAGAGTCTTTCACCATCCGCCCCAAGGCCCTGTAGTCTTTCTTCATCCCCCTCAGACTGCGGGAAGCAGCTTCCCCCTCACCCGTCTGGAAGACCAGCAGCGGGTAGTAGTCTGTCGGGCGCACCAGGTTGGGGAGCGCCCTGGTGATATCCCTGATCCGGGCTCCAGGCAGACTACACACTTCCCTATGATGAGGGTCAACTCTGCATATCGGGCCCTCTGTTCCTTTCAGAATGGAATCACCTACTACAATGACCCTTCTTTCTTTCTTACCAGAGGCAGTCTTGAGGTGTGAAGTCGACCACTTTTTCCTATGTGGCCTTGTAGGTGGGCCTTGCACCGCATCCTCACCTACCTCTCCTTCAAGATCCAGGGCCTCAAACCTATTACGGAGGGTCACCTGGGGAAGCGGGGCAAGAAGGGAGGAGGGCTGCCCACGACGCCGAACCGGAACTCGCTTCCAACCCTCATCATCTTTTTGGTCCCCTACCTCTGGGTGACAGCTACAGGACAGGGGCTGTCTCGGGCCATCACCCTCTGTCTGAGAGGGCAGGGGGTCCATCCCCTTTTAGGGGGTATCTCCCTGGAGCCGTTCCAACTGGCCAGCCAGGGAGTTACTCCACCAGTCGATCTCCCTTTCACACTCCCTGATGCTCCTCAGCGTCTCAACCTCCTCCTTAAGTTTAGCCACCAAGCTAAGCAGATCTTCTACCTGCTCACACCTCACACAGGTGGAATGCTGTCCTCCCTCCCCCGGCAGTAGCAGGCTCTGGCACTCCCTGCATCCAGAGACCTGAACAGCCACGGTTTGGGATGGGGTCTCTGTCTGAGTTGCTACAGCCCTCTTACTGCTAGCTCTCTTTCTGGAGACGACCATACTGGTCAGCAAAACGACCTACCTGTGCTTCCTTGTACCTACCTGGTGGGCACCGACGTGTCGCTGTCCTCTCAAAGGCTCTTTCAAGTCAAGGGACAGGGGAGTGGTCACCGTTCACCGTGGGAACGCCCCCCCCGCCACATCAGCCGCTCTCTCGCAAGGGCTGCTGGGACTTCAGGAATCGGGAAATGTCGGGAATCGCGATGCCTCTGCACTGTCCCCTCTGATTTTCCGAATCTCGGTAGAACCTCGATATCGCTGTAGCGTGCCGGCTGCGGCTCTAGCTGGGCTAGCTCCAGTCAGCTGACTGAATGATATTATTTTCTCTGCCTGTCAAAGGTGAACAGTAAAAATGCTGATAAATAATTCAACAGGACTCTTAAATGACACTTGGGATAGAGATAAATGAAAAACTATAGCAATCACTGAAAGAAAACAGTGTGGTTATAAATGTGCTAATTTTGGGTGGCCTTGACAGCAATAGTAGAGCAGGTTCTTGAAACAGGCTGGAGAGCATAGGGGAGGGAGGAAATACATGGCTCATGTCCCCGCCTGGTATCTGTTTAGCAAGGGGGGGGAAGAAACCATTTCCCTTTGCTTCTCCCCGGTTCTTATTTTGCCATGGTGTATTTCTTCAAGTGGTGTTTGGTGCTGCGCTTTGGCTAGTCCTTGCTTTGTCTCTGTGGGAGTCCCAGCTTCTAGCTGCCGTGAATGCTTGAAGGTGCTCACAGTACAGATGCTTCTTTAAGCCACGGCAGTCTGACATCCTCCAGCATCTTGCTGCACTGAGAATAGATTCACTTAGGGACTGAAAGTATAGAAGTATTTGTTTTGGGCAATAAAGTCAGGAGGGAAGTTGACCCCACTAAATACCAATGAAGTGTTGTTATTGTTTTGTGGTTTTACCTATATTCTGGATATTTTTGGTTTCTCTTTAGTGTTCTGTCATCATATGGTGACTTTTTAATTTACATTTTACTCATGATTTACTGTAGCATTCAGAGTTGATATGTTGAGAAATCAAAGGGTTTTTGATAATACATTACAAATACTGAAGAAAGGAAAAGGTCTCCTTTGTTTACGACATACAGTAAGAAGCGAAAGGGATAGAAATCATAGAAAGGAACTAGTGTGATGCTGCATGGCATACTATAATAAAAGTCTTGAAAAGAGGTTATAAAAAAATCAGTAAGAATGTGTTAGATGTGTAACCTAATTAAGAAATAGGGCTTCTAACTGGTCATTTTCTTTGCAAGTAATCTATTTAGGATCTGATTCTGTTTTATTTTAAATTTATGGTGGTTCTGCTATTGATTTATATTGATTGGGGAGTCACAGCTTGAATTCATTCTAACTACAGTTTGCATCTTGAATTCCTTATTTCAGTTGATCTTTTTGCTAGATTAACATGTATAGTGCAAGTAAGGGCACACACAGAGCCAACCTTAATCCCTGGGTGCTAAAGGTGAGGTTAGTGACAAAAGTAGTTACCCACTCAATGAGAGTTTTTGTGGTGAAACCATTTAAGCACTAGACAGGCAAATGAAATGATTTGGCAGACGTTTCAGAAGAGCAGGTATGAGATGGTGGCAAAATTTTGTGATAGCAAGTCCTCTGCCTGCTACTTTCAGCAATGATAGAGCTTCTGTCAGGGGAAGAAAGCCTCTAAGAGTGTTATCAATGGTATGTTCAGGAGGCAGAGAACAAGAAGCCTGTTTCTCACTGAAACAATACTTCCCCCCCACACCTCCCTGTGAAAAAGTTTTTATTATTGCACAGCAAATGGACTAGTGCCCAAATAGATATTAAAAAAAAAAAAACCACCCTAAATTTCTAAAATGCTTGCATTGACATTGCCACTGAATTTCCATTCTACATGTATTGACCCAAAATTTCCGAAGTCAAAGCTTGTGTTTCCCTACTACACTTAGCTAGTAGCTACTTATTTAGAGGAAACCTTCAAACAGCAGTGTTGAATGCCAGCAGCTCACATAAGCATCACTTTGTGGTTCAGCTTTTTAAGGTGTTTTTCTGTATGGCAATGTGTGATGTTTAAATAAATTCTCTCTGGAATTCATAATGCAATTCCAACTAATTAGTTACTTTTATCATCTGCTTGCCACAAGGGAAACTACTACTCCTAAATTCAATCCTTTTGTCAGTGACAACTGTTTGTTTTCCTCTCTGGTATGCTCTTTGTGCAGGATGAGATAAACAAAGCTACCTTAGCTAAAGAAGTTGGTAGGATTATTCAAGGTATTAATAGAGAGAGGGTGAGGTGAGGACACTGCTGTAGTGAAACAACTTTTTCCTAGTTTACATTCACCCCTGCATATTTTGGTCTGTTGAGAGGACAGTGTCTCTGGTCTTGTCCTTCCTTTCCCTGCCCTTGTTCAGCTTTCTCTGAGGTTGCTACAGCAAGGGCAGTCAGTACTCTAAGATGAGCTCTGCAAGTTTTCCTGTTCCAAGGAACAAGATCTTCCATGAATTTCAGGAATAGGGCTTAAGGGATAGTTGATCCCATGGCGAAACCACATGGCCTTCTGGTCAGTTTTCTGACATGCCTGATTGTCTGCCTTCAGGAGTGGTCATTGCTTGGCTTGGTGGAATATCTAAAATAAGAACAGATTAGTAAAGGAGATGAATAATAGCATTTCTATGTAAGAAATTGTGAAGACGGTGTTTCCTCATGCTCATGTATGTATAGTTTGTGCCAGCCACAGGAAGTCATGCTGAAGGGTGCATTGTGAATTCAAGTATATTTAAGTGAGACCTGTCTGGGTTTAACACTTGAGTATGTCATTTTTTCTCACATGTTTGACTTCCTCAGCAAGATTTACAATGTTAGATATCAGTAGTGTACAATATGATAAAGAGAAAAGCTGTCAGATTAAACTTGGTATATTGTTTTATTTTAGCACAAGATGCATTAGTAAGAGGAGCTGGGATTAAATACGAAATTAGCATTCAACAAAGAACACAAATACTATTGTTGCCTTCTTAAAATTCAACTGGAGTGGGAAGGGGAATAAATTGTACTAGTGATTTGTTTAATTTGCTTCTTATGAGAATGAATAGGAGGAAACTGCAGTCTTCCTGTCATGTAAACTAATACATGTTTACAAGGAAGGGTGGCTGACACACATCTCTTTCCTTCACCGGTAAAGCAGTATGAATATGATTAAACGTGTGTGTGTGTCCTGGAAAGTCAACAGTATTGGAGACTTGGATCAAGGGTGCATTTAGATGCTTTGCTAGACAACTGTGTGTAGCATTTTGTAGAGTGAGGCTGAGATTAAATGGATGGGAAGGAGGAGTGGTTGGAAATGAACAGAACATGACTAGTAGAACAACTACCTGAATTATTACTCCTGTTCTTCTGTAAAGCAGCCATTTAAATTACCACTTCTATTTAGAAAGGAGCTATGTAAAGATGTCAGACTGGGTTTCTCTACTGATTTTAATGGTCTTTCACCATAGTCAAGGTCTATCCTGTTTAGAAGCTGGGGAACTATTCTGGAGAACTTTCACTATAGGTTTGTCCCATTTTCACATGCTGCTTTAAGTGTTCTCTGTTGATTGCTAGCAGAGGCACGATACTGTGATAGTCGAGATACTTCAGATCATAGCCACAAAAATATTTTTTGTTTATAGTGAATGGTTACACCTGAGCTTGAACTGACACAGATTCAAGGCAGAAGTTCCTAAGTCTGCAAATCAAAATTTCTGTTCTTTAAATAGAACAAATATAACTTTGAAAGTGTATGAGAACCAGTAAGGGGGTTATGTAATGCTGTTTCTTTTTGCCATGGGTTTTATCCAAATTAAAGCTTAAATTTAACCTCTGAGCTTTAGTTTCTAACATGTAATAACATAATTTATTGAATGCATGAGAGGGGAAGTGTAATCGTTGCTTTTGAGGTTGAGATATGTTCACTTGAATAATCTTCAGAATTTATTGGAACAATTTTTTATCCTGGTATGATGCATGTTTCTGTCTTTCATCCATTGTGATATATGACTGTGTTCTAACATATATCTTTTTTTTCTTTAGTGTTTTTATATTGCTTTCCTGCAATTTCTCTTCTTGGTCTTTTCCCTCAAATCAACACATTTTGTATATATCTTTTGGAACAAGTAGACATGTTGCTTTTTGGTGGTTCTGGTAAGTACCCAGTTGCACCCTGAGCTATCCCGTTCTGGGTTTATAAATTTAGACTGGAGTATATTATTGCATGTTTTAAAGTACAGTGCATGTTAAAGCTCAAACAGCTAATGGTAGTCATGTAACATACTAATAAGAGCCCCTTGATTTGATTTCTTTCTTTATTTTGAAAATTCATATGGAAGTTTTGCTATAGGCTGCAGAATGTTTTTGATATTGAAGAGCTCTTTCCTGGTATGTCTGATCTGAATCTTTACTATGCTGACAAAAAAAACTCCCCAACTTATCTTTTTTTCCCTTTTTTGTTAAAACTCCATTTAAAAAATAATAAAAAAATGCATTGTTCCATAGTGAGGCATGTTCACAAGATATTGGATGTGTGATTTTTTTGTCTGGTGTTATTTCACTCAGAGATTAAACAAGGCCCATGAGAGATGATGCATAGGGGTTTTTTGTTAGTAGTAGTAGTTTTTGGTTTTCCTTATAACTTAAATAACAGAGAAGGTTGGGGTGCATCTACACTGTCATCTTGGCTTGGATGAGAAACAGACTTCCTCCTTGTTCTCCCTTGACACGTGTTTTGCACCATGGAATGGTGTTAGAATATGCAAACCAGATTGCACTTGGATGAAGCTCAAAAGAAAGCACTGTAAGGGTGCACCTACTACACTCCTAATGAGCATAGTCTGTGGGGCCTGACTAGAAGCATTCTGCAGTAAGGCAGCTCAAGCATGTTTATCATAGATATGACATTCTCAGCATTATTAATCCCACAGACCCTTGCTTACTGCATCATTCTGCTTGCTACTGTAGATGTAGCCTTTGGCGAGTGGTTAAAACTAGTACAGATGATATGGGTGTTCTTTGCTTTTTGTCTCAAATACCATAGCTTACCTGGAGGAAGTACCATGTTGGATAAAGTCCTCATCCTGTCAGTAATGATGATTCCAGTGTATGTTGAACCCTAACTAGAGAATGGTTTTGCAGCTCTTTTGTCTCTATTGTTGACATTGCTGAACTCTTAATTCTCTCTGACAGCTTTTCCTACTCTGTTTTTGGAAGCTCTCAAAGGAGGTTATAGCAAGAGATCAGCTGGCATCCTTCTCTTTCCCTTTAAGTTTGTTCATGTAGCTTAATATGGTGCAAATCATGGTTCACCAAGCGAGTTAGGGTGCTTTTAGATATCAGAGCCTGTGTCACAGGAGAGCAAAGGGAAAACCCCACATAGAATTTGACTACAAAATTGCCAGTTTGTAGATCACTTCATTCCTCCTTGGTAGCAATATGAAGACATTTACTTGGTATTTTAACAAAACAATGTTCAGTACAAAAAGCGATAGTGTGGGACCTGAGGTCAATGGCAAACACATAGGGTACAGTGGCACCTGGCTTTCAGTCTTTGCTGTAAACACTTTAGTCAGCTTATTTAGTCAGGGTATTAGTTATTCTCTCAGCAAACAGCTTTATGATACCTGATTGTAATCTCTGTACCTCTTGTGATGCGAGAGCTGTTTCATTTTTTTATTTTGATTGCACTTTCTTACTTAGGAAGAAATTAACTCACATGTAATGTCTATATTTCAGCTGCTGCTGGGTTTGTATCTGCACTATACAGCATTTCCAGAAGCTTTGTGGTTCTGATTGTTCTATATGCTTTCTGCTTCAGTGCAGTAAAGGTAAGCCAGAAAAACACTGTAAAAATTCAAAACTTCAAGCTTAAAATTCATATAATGCAGGGAGACCAGCATTGTTTGGTGCTACATTGTCGTTGTTTATCAAAATAGGCTTTACAAGCCATGCTTCAAGTTCTGCCTATTGACTACACTGAAATAAATTGAAACTGTAGTAGCAATACTGGAGTGAATGCATCTAATACCTGTGGCTGTGTACCACTTACATAAATCAGCCTGAAACAATCCGTTCAATTTCCCCTACAAAGAGTAACAGCAGCCTTGGCTTAAAAAGCTGCAACTCCAAGTGACCAGTACAAGCCAGGCTGGATTTGTTCATTTTCATGAGACCCCACTTGGAGTACTGTGTGCAGTTCTTGTGTCCTCAACATAAAAAGGACATGGAGCTGTTGGAGCAAGTCCAGAGGAGGGCCACGAGGATGATCAGGGGACTGGAGCACCTCCCATATGAAGATAGGCTGAGAAAGTTGGGACTGTTCAGCCTGGAGAAGAGAAGGCTGCGTGGAGACCTCAGAACAGCATCCCAGTATCCTATAGGGATGCTGGGGAGGGACTTTTCATTAGGGACTGTAGTGACAGGAGAAGGGGTAACAGGTTTAGACTTAAACAGGGGAAGTTCAGTTAGGTATGAGGAGGAAGTTCTTTACTGTGTGAGTGGTGAGGTACTGGAACAGGTTGCCCAAAGAAGTTGTGAATGCTCCATCCCTGGTGATGTTTAAGGCCAGGATGGACAGAGCCTTGACTGACATGGTCTAGTGTCCTTTCCAACCCTGGTTGCTTTATAACAGTATACCTCAGAAATTAAATGTCCACTTTGGATGGACCAGTGGACCATCTGAACGAGTAATGTGTCTGCATCCACAGGGGAATGCCATTTAGAAACTTAATGCAAGCCAGATGACTGCCACTCTTTTCCTTAATATTCCACCAGTATCCACAACTGTTGGATTAGGGATGTTGGAGACTGTGTCTGCTTATTTCATTTGGTACCTGTGGACTTGTTATCTATGAATTTGCCAAGTACTTTCCTGAATGTGCTGGTCCTGTCTGTCTCCACAATTTTGTGCCAAGAAATTCCAGATATTCTGTGTGCTCTGTGTGAAGCAGTGCTGTTCGTCACTGATTTTTAAACTGATCTGATAATTTCACTAAGCCTTCCCTATGCCTAATATTGCAGCATTTGTGGAAGAACTGTTCTACATTCACCATATCCACTGCCTTCACAGTTTTGCAGGCATCAGTCATATCCCCTCCCCACCAGCTGTTTTCAATCTGAAGAGTCCCAGCCTTTCTAGTGTCTCCTTGTAAAACAGCTGCTGTCACAGGGGTAGCTAAGTTAGTTGCTGCACTCTGTGCCGCCTTTTACTTCATTGTAGCCTTCAGATGTAGAGACTAAGCTGTGTATGGTGCTCAGGATGGAGGTGTGCTTTGGGTCTATATGCTGGCAAAATTAATAGCAATAAAATTTTGGCTGCCTTCAAGTCTGCTGTAAAATTCTCAGTGCCCACAGTTAGAGCAGAATTTCATCTTAGACTAGGGATAGAATATATCCTTTAAGGGACAGTTTTTTGACAGTGTTTCATTACAGGCTAGATGCTATCAGTGCCCATGCAGGGCTGCGTCAGGATGTGCAGTCATTTACAAGCTGCTCTTGACATCTTGTGGGCATACTTGAGAGGTTGCTTTGTGGTGCTACGCATGCACAGCACACACAGAGATCCCAGTATGAGGTTCAACAACAGCCAAAGATGTACCATGTCAACACCCAGGCTGGAAATTTACATAGATGAGAGGAGTAATCAGATGTTTCTTTCAGGGAATTCTTTAAGGAATATAAGCATTTCTACAATGGTTTTGAATTATTTTCCACTTAAAATTTTGAATATGAACTTTAAATAAAAAATGGTCTATTATAATGCTTTAATGGTCTCTCACAGATGGTCAGAGCTGGCTGTGCATGTGTTCTTAACCACTCCCAGCAGTAAGGTAAAACGTGTTAAGCCACCATTTAATCTTGCCCTTGGGTGGCTTGAGTCCATATGCAGTAAATTATGGCAACTCAGTTAGTGGGCAGTGTTCCATTAAGACACTTTAAATGTCTTTGAACATGTTGTGTACTCCCAGGAATTCTGTTGTCAGGCTGACCCAGTAGTTCAGTTGTACTGGTTTCACCTGATCCAGGTGACTGCTCCTTATGCAGTTTCCTAAAGTAACTAATATTCCTGCTATGGGTTTTTTTTTTTGTTATATTAACGATTTGGAAAGTGGCAGCTGAGGTGCAGAAGGTGACTCTCTGTAAGGATGAATAGAGTGAGAAAAATCTATGATGGGGGAAGAAGCAATGAAGAAAACAGAAAGATCTTTATGGAAAGAAGGAATTGAATGAAACCTGAGTCCAACAGGCAAATATCTGAACTGACCATTTTATCTCCCGCTAAAGTTAGCAGAGGGCAATTAGTTGAGGGTAGGGAAGCTGTGTGATGGATACTTTAAGAAATAGTTTTGTAAAGAGTGTTAAAAAAAAGCGCCCATTAAAATACTGTTCGCTCTCCTTTCTCGGCATAATACTTAAAATTACAGCATGCAGGTGGCTTTGTAGATAAGCAATCTGCTTGTGGATTAGACTTCAAACTGCTTAGAAATATGCTTTTAATGCTACCCTGAAGTTGTAGAGTGCTGTGAAAGATTTACAAGATATCTGTTGTAAATTACCAATATTAAGTGCAGACTTTCTGTTCCCACAGAAATTACAGTTAATTTGAATTTTTATGGCACGGTTCTTGTGAAGGCACTTCTGAGGAGGTTAATTTAAAGCATGTAAAGATGATTCCACTTGCTCATAGTCTCAGTCTAGTAGGGTGCTTGAAATGTCATACATTTTTTTCTTCTTGAAGCTGTGTAATAAGCACTTCTGTTATCCCTCTGTGTTTTTCAGTCAGGTCCAGAGATGTTTTTCTTCATTTTGGACTGTTGTCTAAAACATTGAAAGAGAACAGTTCTTTGGTTGGCGAAGGAGGAGTAGGAATTTGCTTAAATGTAACAGAAAAATATGATCCTGAATAGTCACCCCTGTGAAAGGTGATATAATGCTCCTCTAAGAAACTAGAACTGTTTTGATATGTAGTAAGCAACAACATCTGATGGATGAAATGAAGGTTTGGTTTTTTGGTGCACTAGAAATTGCAGAGTTTAACTCAAAACTGACCAAATGCCATAGCCTATTTCACTGAGGTGTTTGCACAACAGTGATAATTACGTGGTTTTCTTTAAGATAGAAATGGCATCTCTTCCCCACTTGCCCTTTACAGTCATTCTTTTGTTTTTATTTTTCTCTTTTCACTTTTAGTCAGTTTGTCAAAACCAACAGAGCAAACTTTTCAATATTTATGGCGGTCAAAAAATTCATCACAATCAAAATGACTCAGGAGTGGGAAAGCTTTTCTGGCACAGGATTTTTCAGTTGCAAAGCTTATTTCTTGGCTGAAATGCAGCATCCTCAAATATAAACTCTGTTTATTGGCAGAATCTTGTAGCTCAGCAGGTGTAACTGGCAGAGTTCTATTTCCTGAAATAAATTGTGGAGTAGGATGGATCTTGAAGTGGCTGTGTGCTTTTTTCTGGTGAACAATTGCTCACATCAAATGCCTAGGCTGAAGTCCCATTCCAGTGGTATCAGGCTTGAGTTTTTCCTTCCACAAGTGGCTCTTCTGTTCTGATTATTATCTTGCAGGGTGAAATAGCCTAGCCTAGTTTTTCTGTGTACATTAATTATTTCAAAAGGAAAGATACTATTCCTGAAGAAGCTCATTAAAAGAATAATTAATTTACCACATAGTTTTATTTTTTATCAAAATAAATGCGCTGTTAATTTCATAATAGATCTGTGTTCTTACATGAGTTTTCCTTGTGGATTTTTTAAACAGAAACTACACAACGTACATACAATAGTTTGATTTAGTTGCAGTCAGATTTCAAAATGTTTTTAGTGTAGCAAATTCACATCAATTCTTTGCTCTACATCTCCTATTTTAGAAAAATTAAAAAGGAAGAATTGAGCAATTGTTTTGGGGTATGTTCACAAAACAGTGCAAGTACTAGAGTTAACCTTCAGCATGTGAATATAAACTCTGAGAACTGAGACAAATAGGCCTGTGCTGAAATCCCATGTCTTGTCCAGACTGATTTTTCTGGTGAATTATGTTGTAGAAAACCAACTGCGAGTCTCTGTGAAAAAGCAGCTGCAGTATAGACATAACGTTAGTTTAACTTAATAATTGTCATTGATTTTTGTTCAGATAAGCTGCCTGAGGAAAATTGTTCTACAGTATTCTCGATTGAAAGTTTATCCTATGATCTGCAGACAACATTTGGTGTGCCGAATGAATTCATCTGGCAGCGCTCTCTTTTTGAATGACCTTGCAACATCTTTGCCATCACCTGACCAGAACTGTTTCTGTCTTAAATAAAATGCACATATCATCTAAAAGAGGATGGACAGATCTCCAGTCTTGTGCTAACAGTGAACGTGCAGGTTGGATCATATGGCAGGCTGCTCACATGTCCCGTCACAGGACTTTATCAGAAGCATATAGTGTGTTTTGGGGAGCGGCTGCATACTGCTCACCTCATGGGCACAGGCTGTTACATGACCCAACATGTACTTTCCACACAACTAAAATAAAGGACAGCCTGTTACAACGCCAGGCGCAAACTCATTGCATGATGAGACCTGTGTTTGAGTTCTGTGTCTTAGACACTTGTTTGGAGATGACTGAGAGGCAAAGGGGTCCCACCTGCTGTGGTCAAGGGGTCTGTTCCCCTCCTCAGAGTGCTCCTCAGCAGCTGTACCCTTGCTTGATGTTTGTGTGGAGGAGCTGTGTATCTGTGGTTTGTCAGGATCTCCTCTGATGGTGCTACTGCTGCACTGATCAGTTTTCGTTTTGTTTAATTCTGTCAAACTGAGAAACCCCAAAATGGCTCACGGT